ACTATACACGGTACCGAGACAACTCAGCTCAAGAGCAAGCTACCCCAGCTCCTTTCACGTTCACTACAAAGTTGATAATGCCACCATCATTAGAAACCCTTGCCCATGAAACGGATAAAGTCATTTAAAACATTCTTTAGGATACCAATTTATATATATTACAGACCTCACCCTCATTTATTCCATGTCAATTTTGCACTGTCAGGACATAAAACCAGAAGATCTCATCATTGCTTTGGAGCTCCCAGAAGCACCGCTTTGCCACCAAAAGCTAGTGCTGGCATGGGAATACAGAAGCCTTGCATGTCCCTCACTCACATCCTCTGTTCTCTGCACAGGGGACCAACTCCGACCTCCCACCCCTTAACGAAAAAGAAAAGGAAGGAAGAGGAACAAATCCTCCAAGCACGCCACGTCTCATTTATTCCAATGAAAGCAAAACAACCCAAAATTGGTAAGTCTTTCATTTTGTCAACATGCATTTGTAAAAGTTGCATGAACAAAAAACATAAAATTTTCATGTAAGATAACATATAACAAAAAGAAAACCATTCAGTTATCAATATAACAGAATGCTTAATGTCCTCTTCTATTCTTAAAATTAATGATACTGAAAGGCAGTAGTAAACATTTTAATTACCAAACTTTCTTTCAAATTCATCTCCACTGTGTATCTAAATAAAAAATAATGTTTTCTGCAAATGATTGACTCAAAAATGCATTGGGTTGCTCTAGAGTCTTAAAAACGAGATAAGGAATTGAACAATTTAATAACATTATGTTTTGTAAAGCATATATCTGCCACTGGTAAAAGCTTTCTTTGGTGTTGATCTGATTTGTTGTTTTCAGTAATTTAAAAGACTTTAACTGCACAGAGTCACATCTGTTATGTTGGTTGATAGTCAATAAATTTACACAAGTAATTTGCTCACAAAAGATCTTGTGTTTGCTATTCCTGAATGCCAGTTTCTTGAGTTGATTCCCCAAAAGGGTTAAACAAGACAGTTCCTAACAAATAAACTGACAACTTAATGGTCTCAACTGTCCTGTATAAATAATGAAAGTTCCTTTAAGAAAAAAAAAACAGGGAGGTGAGGGAAGAAAATGCAAACTTAACAGTGATTGTCATCCAGATGAATATGATCTTAAGCAGGGTTGTTGACTGATTTTTCGCAAAATTGAAAGCAAATAAAACAAATCAAAACATTTATGGTGATATTGCCATTATACCGCGTGACCTCTAAGCTTAAGTGTTCTCAGGAAGTTTCTTTTTTTTTTTTTTTAATACAGAGAATAAATAGCTCAAAGTAAGCATCTTGGTAGAACAAATTAATTCTGCCCAGCAAGGGTGCATCATGTCTCCTGCAATGAATTGCACCAACGTAACCCCAAAAACATTTTTGATAGCGCAGCAGAGATGCGGCCAAGAGGGGTTTCACAAGGAGCATGTTGGCTCCAGAGAGCTCCAGAGCTCCAGCCACATCTCCACAAATGACCTCTGGTGATGGGAGAAACCTCACAAACTTTAGGAAGAGCCCGCCAGAGGACACATGGACATTTCCAAGAAAATCTTTCAAAAGTATATATTTTAAACTCCATGCCAGAATACTCCTTTTAAGGACAAGAGACGGCTGAAAATAACTTTAATACTTTTTCAAGGCTCTACTGGTAGCTTCTACCAATGCAGAACACTTACACAGACTGTTTAACTCTTCTTATTTAACATTACTTTAAGTGTATTTTATATTACATGGCTATTTCATTTTATATTAAAATCCTTAATGTTTAGAGCATGATCTGAGCACTTGGATGTGAAAGACTGTACTTTATAACACAAGTAACTACAGACAAATCGGTGGGGCGGGAATGGTACTGCTGTGCTTTAGGAGTGATTCAGGTTTTTCCCCCTAAAAGCCTGAAGGTAAATACAAGATGCTTTAAACCTATTAGAAGTACTCGTTATGCCCCACAACTAATGCCTCTTCTGATTAATCCTCACAGCAAAGTGATAGCACACAAAAAAGAAGAAACAGACTGCTAAGCTAATCACTTCGTCACCATGGGAAGAGTGGAGTTTCTCCTACATGCGAAAACACAGTGTCCCCCCCACCAAAATATAGGAAAAAGAACAGGAATTCTAAAAATACAGTAGAAAATAAAAGCAAACATCCAATAAATGCTAGTCCCTATCACCAGTGGTTTCGTCTCACAGTACAGCACAAGACAGATTTTACGCCTTAATTTGAAATCCACTGTGAAGTGTACAGCATCATCATACGTGGAAAGTTAAAGGGAGTATTTCTCATTTTGACCCTCACTTCAGAAAATGCAGTCGGAACACACTAGTGGTTTGATTGGCACTATCTGCAGGCTTCTGACAAATAAAGGGAATACTAATTAGTTGCTTAATTTAACAGATCGAGAAGACACAAGGACTATGAAAAGAATGTCTTACAGGAAAGATTTCAAGAACAATATACGTGTGGGTTAGAAAAGGAGGTTGCAAGAAGACCTAATTATGGTTGACAAATACCTGAGGGGCCTTTTTTTTAACCAGAAGCAGGTAGAAATCTGTTCAAAATATGCAATAAGGACAAAGCCCAAAGGCATTATCCGAGATTGAACGAAGGGTAGCTCAGATCTGCTCCCCGACATGGATTTTCGCTCAGAGGATCATCACCACACGGAATAGATGACCTAGCCGGGGCTCCTGGCCGCTCATGAATTTTATTCCGGGGTAGGTGGGTGCCTGTTTGGGCTACAGCTGGCCCTTCCTCCCGAAGAGCAGGGCACGGGGAAGAGCACCCCGAATCGCCTCCTGCCACGGCCGCGACGCGCCCCGGCTCCGCGGCCCTGGAGTGCCACCTTCTGGGGAGGCCACCCCGGCCGCCCACGTCCACCTCCCACCCGGGCCGGCGACTCGAACAGCCGAGCGAAACCCCTGGCTTCATGTCACCGCCTGGCCGGTCACCAGCTCTGCCCAGGAAAGAGCCCTCCGCGCGCCAAGATCGCAGGCAGGGAAATTTAACTAGACGGTTAAGCCCTGTTTGAGGCTCCAGCTTGCAGCACCGAGGGCCGCGTTGACTCATTCTGTTCCCTCCCTTGAGAGGGCTGCAAACCATAATTTTGCAAACTGATTTTCCATTTTATATTATGAGAGGAAATTTTCAAAATATTACAAGGGAACACATTAAAGATGCCCATCTAGGATTACACCAGGTCCCCTATGTGCATTAAATGTGATGTAGTTAGTTTTGAAAGCTTTCTCTGGTGCTTGCTGGGTTTTTTAGATTTTCTAAATAAGCATATGCTCTATGGTAGCAATGAATAATTGATTGTTGTCAGAATATATTCCATTATGGAGGGAAAATAAACAGCAAAAAGTACCTCAGCATCAAGAAATAACACTCTTAGTTCCACTTTCCCTGAGGATCATGAGACTGCCATGAAAACGTAGAAGTCTCACAGTTTTAACAACCTAAAGAGTCAGGAAATTCTTATTTTAGGGAAAATACTTTTTTTTAATGGACTAAGTCACCTCCAGAAGTGTAAAACAAGGATATTACAAACCCAGCTAAATTAGCAGAAAAAAAAATCAACGAGGCTTTTTCAAACAAAATTCATTTTCCTTCCCATCATCCCCTCCGTTTAACTAATGGAGGAAAGGAAAGGAAAAATGCGATTACTATTTTGGCGTACTCGCTGTAGAGGCTCCCCAGCACGAGGCTGCTCAGGTAGCCCCATCAGCGGTTCCCGGAGCTGCCATGTGCAGAAGGCAGCGGCAGGCAGAGGCCTAGCCATGCTGCTCACGTTTCAGGAAAGAGACATATTTCCTTTTCTTGCAGTAGTACCTGGAACATCCACCCTGCTGCCAGTGGCGGAGAGGGATGCAAGAGCAAGACGCCGACTCCCTGAACAGATCCTGCCTGCGCCCGCGTGAAGGGCAGGCGAGCAGCAGGGCCCCGCGCTTGCCTTCCGCTCATCTTCCCAACCTCTTCGAGCCGAGACCCTGCGCTTGCTTTAATTACTGCCTTGCCCGTTGCCATTGGTTCGCCCTCATCTCCCGGCCACCAGGTTTTCGTGACTCCTGAGCAGTTTAACCTTCGCCGCGCTCTCTGTTTGCGCGCAATAAAAATAGAGCGCAAACAAACGGGCAGGCGGGCGCTGCCGGGGAACCGAACTCTCCGCCATCTGGGCTGCTCCGCCGGGCGCCCTCTCACCTGGCCGCCCTGAGGAGCCGCATCGGGAGAGGGATGCGAAGCGGCTCCGCCCATTGC